ATGCATAAGACCCCTGTATTCTTTCAAAATACTCTAAAAACCTCTAAAAATTTATCCAACTATAATTTAATCCCAATTTCATCAATTAACCAATTTTAACCAATGAATCCGATTTTTCAAAATTGGATAATTCGACGTTGACTTTTGTTTTAACTCGGTTGACTTTTTTTTCGATTGATCTTTTTTTTTTCCGCTGTTAACCGATGTTTGAATGTCGGGTTAACAGCGTTGACATTTTTTTTCTTGATTTTTATTTTATTTTTATTTAAGTTGTTGGGTAATGGAAAATATAATTTTAAAAAAATTCAAAGCTGATAATCAACAAGAAAATAATATCATAAAAAAAAGTCAAAATAAAGAAAAAAGGAAAAAGTCGCCGCATCTCAATAACGGAAAAAATTTAAGACAAAAAAAAAAGATAAAAATTAACGGCAGGTGTTAGCCCAAAAAACCGTTGTACTAGGTTATCTCATTCCAAATTTTCTCCGCACATGCCTAATTCATCTTCTTAATATTTTTTGGGAAGAAATTTGGGATGCAAGGGCTGTTCCACGAAGAAAAAATTGAGGGGAAAAAATCATGGATTTTAGAATTTTTTTAAATTGTATTTTGGCCCTTGAATTTTAGATAAAAACTTTGTTGGAAGTTTGTAATTTTAATATTACGATACTAGATATTAATATAGTATTATTATTGTGTTATATAGTAACTGTGTTGATCTGAAAAAAACGTCACAGGAAAAAGTTCATAAAAAATCAAGAAAAATAAAAAAGTCAACATTGTTAGCCGAGAATACAATGTCGGTGAACGGCGTCAAAATCAATATTAAATAAAAAAGTCAATGCCGAAAAAAAAGTAAAAAAAAAAAATCAACGGCGGTGAACGGTCAACGTAATGGTGTTAAAAATTGGGGTCGTTTGTCAAAATTGATTAAATGATGAAATTGAGGTTAAATTAGGGTTGAATAAAATTTTAGGGGTTTTTAGAATATTTTAAAAGAATGCAGGGGTCTGAGTGCAATTTTTATCTATGAAAAATCCCAAATTCAGCTCTAATTCTACAGTTGACCGTTACTTCTTGACGGTCAAACAGACGGATGGACTAAATGTGTTAAAATGTGACAACATTAGTGTGTATTTTGTTGACGGCAGTAAATGGAAGACCAAAAGTGAAAAACGTGCAAACTTGGGGGACCAAAACTGTAATTATCCCCAAGTTTTGCCTATACGATTCTGTTTCTTCATTAAATTCTCAATTTTTCTTTTTCTTTTTTCTAATGATTGTTTATTGTTAGGAATATTGTTGCTGGTTGAAAAAATGTTTCATTTTATAATAGGGATGTTAGATAAAACCCCTCAAATATTGTTTTATTTTTTTTTTCATTTTCTTTACTTTTTTTTTTTATTGTTTTTCCTAACCGACTACGATATTAATCAACTATAATGTAGTTGATTAAATAATATACTACTAAAATCGATATGAATGATTGAACTGACAATAAACGAAAATAAGTGCATCGCCATCAGTGAAACCGAACACGATTCAACAGAAGAATCCAAACAATAACAAACAACCACAGTAAATGTTTAAATTGGCAATAATGCACTCACAAAATATAGATAAAGGAATGGAATATCCCTCATCTTTTTCATTACTTAATCTTGGCATTCAAATTATAACCAATTGTTTGGTTTCAATAATTGTAAGTTTATATTACTTAATTCAAGTTGCATATTTCAATTACAACTAGTAGGAAAATATTCGTATGTATATAATACTTGCAAGAAATTTCAAATA